TTTTCTGCCAAAGAACAACCAGCACCAGTTAAAATGAGTCCACTGGCTGATCAGCCTCTGAACGGAAAGATAAACCAGGTCTGAAGTCTGATTTCATATCCAGCCTGTTTGCCTCCCTGAGAGATGTGTTTTCTGTCTTTAGATCAAATTTTCTGCCTTCTACCTATGTTCTATTTGGTGTCTGGAGATTGTTTTTTGTGCTATACTCTGAAAAAAATCTAATTCATATCTGACCGGCTGAGGCCTTGAGCTGAAATCCTGACTCATAAAACCACAAGAGGGGAGAAAAATTAAATTTCATGAGTGAGCAGACAGAGCCTCAGAATACCTGAAAGCACTTCTACATGCTCAGCAGAGAGCTTTATTTCCTGTTTGTCAAAAAGTGAGTGAACCTGCGCTGCTACCACCAAGTCTTTAGCGACTTCATTTTCACTCCAGAGTGACATTTTGTGAAGACACACCTGGTGGTTAAGCTCTTAAGAAAGTCTGAAAGTGAACTTCTGAGTGTGGATTATTATGATTCACATGCTGTTCCCAAAGTTTAACACGAGTCTGAAAATGCAAAACTGATTAAAATCGGGTTTTAGTTTCACAAAAACAACAAACAAAATATTTCAGACAGGTCAGCCTGTTCCCATTTTCAGAGCATAACAAAAATTGGGCTTTGTCAAAGCTGTTGGTGTTTCTCAGTGTTGTTTTATTTACTGGTGGGCTGTGATGCACTGGGTTATCCTATTAGTGAGACTCTGTTGTCACTTCCAACTTGTCGTTTTCTAACCAGCAGGGTTTCTGCGGTGGGGTCCTGCATTTACACTTTACAATTTAATACTTTTAGTTCCTAAACCCAACCAGCAGGTAAATGTAGGTGAAAAATGCAAATGTAGTACATCAGAGAGCAGTGACAAAAGATACTCAGTGTAACAAAGGGTACCACGTGATGCTACGAGGTGAAAACATGTTAGACAGCTCTGTAATGGTGCAGTTCAAAATCTTAGGCTGAAGAAAGTGATATAATATAATCAGTCTTATTGAGTGACTGTTTGCACAGTTTACTGTGAAACAAGCCATATCATGAGAATATTTCCTTGAGATAACATCAGGAGTTCATTCCTCAGCCCTGAAATCCAAAATTTGATCTTTGTCAGGTCAACAAAAGGTAGAGTCTCACTTTATCATGCTACATGAACTGTTAACTAGGGCATCGTCACTGATTCAATTTCGATTCACGAGGTCTCCAATAGATTCAGTTCAATTCTATTTTGACTCAGACAGTCAGAAATATTAGAACTGTGATCATTTATCAGTACATATCCATATTTTTATATCTATGTATAAAAAACAACGCTGACACTTGTGAGACTTTAGAGGTGTAAGCATCGCAGCAGATGCCTTTGTGTTAAAGTCACTGAGGATAAAACACAGAAAATCATGAAGGAGATTTTCCTGGCCTGGCTTTTTATAGCAGATCACTGCCTTAAAAATATTCTGCGGTAGATCAAAAATGGAAGAAAACCATGAATAAACATGGTTGACGAACATTACCTGATGCTGCTGAAGTGAAGCAGAGTAATGTTACAGAGGTTTTATTAGACAAACAGCAAAGCGTTTTGCAATTTGGCAGAATTTGTAAAAGTTTAGATTTTTTCCGTATTGAACTGCAGAAGTTAGGCTTTCTTGTTGGAGGTCATTTTTGAAAAACAAAAACAAAAAACAGCGACCGACTGTGCTGTACACAACGGTAAGCTGGTTCGTAATAAGCAAGCAAATAATGTAGAAAACAGAGATTTCTGACGGTAAACTGGTCACTGAGTGCACTGAGAGAGAGAAAGAGCTGTGCAAGGAGTGTGATTTTATCGTAGTGGAAGCAAAACAGCCAAAGTAAGAGGGAATTCATGACAATGTTTATGAAATGTGAAGCATAGTTTTGATCTTCTTTTGCTGATGGTTCAGGAAATTTTGATTGGAGAATGACAAAACCTGCAGCTTCAGAATCTGTGAGATATCGGCTTTCAGCACTAACAGCGTGTCCATGTATGTGCCTTCGGGTCGCACTTTGTGTGTACATCTTTGCGCAGAATCCGTTTACCTGCTTTTTAATCGTTTGGTATTTTAACTCTTTGGTGGTTGTTGAAATACTTTTGTGAGCTTTAACCTGAGATTCTGGCATTTCTGGCAAAATACATTTATATTTAAAAGAATTTAGATGTAGATTTAATGAATCAATATTGTGTTATTCAAACTAAAATCGATTTGAACCGGAAAATCAATTTTTTAAAACCCTTCCTATTCTGAACTGTATTTCTATTGCAATTTTGGAAAACTGGGAACAATTTGTGAAATGTTTCGGGGGTTTTCAACATGTTGCTTGTAACTTTCGTAAACAGCGGTACTGAAGTGACTTGTTGAGGATATGCTGAATTGTTCTGCTGTAGGTTTTCCGCTGCTGCTGTTTGTGAAACGGTGTTTGAAACAGATCTAATATTGTTGGCAGTGGCGGTGCTAGCCTGTTTGGCGCCCCGGG